TGATACATCATTAATAGATTTAAAAGAAACTCGTTTTTGTTTTCCTTTAGCACAAGCATCACAGATTTTATCATTATCAAATTTAAGCTTAGGCAACCCTCGAACTAAATCACCTTGAATTAGCCGTTGCAAAACACTCATACTAGCATGTCCTAGTCTCCTATGCCATAACCAACTATCATGTTCATCCTTAGCAACTAGGCAAATTAGTCATATCAATAGAATCTAAATGCACCATGTAAATGTTTCCTATTCTATGACCAACAAGCATAATCCGATTAGATGCAATGTCAATAACTTTACAACCATTAATTTCAAACAAGACATTGAATCCCTTATCGCATAATTGACTAATACTTAATAGATTATGCTTTAATCCATTCACATATAAAACATTTTTAATTTGTATGGAAGAGGTATTACCTATTGTACCAATACCTTCAATGTGACCTTTTGAATTATCACCAAAAGTCACTTCTCCTCCATTTTTGACGTTAAGCTCTATGAACCGACTTTTGTCTCCGGTCATGTGTCTTGAGCATCCACTATCAAGGTACCATGAATTTGAATTTGTTTCCCGTGCCTTGTAGCAATGCTCATTTCCCTACAAACATAGATTAATTTTTGATTTTTGGTACCCAAATTCTTTTGGGTCCATATTCATTAGTTTCCAAAATCCTAGTTCCCTTAGGTATCCATTTGTGTAGGATATCTTTATCTTTAGTAGTAATGAGTCCTTTAGGAACCCATATACTTCTAAATATTTTACCATTTAAGGTTCGTTGAGGATTTATATGATTGTAGTTTCTAAATCTTTTCTAACAAAGTTGGATTTTGAATTTTCTCCTTTTTCAAAACGTTTTGTTCCAACTTTATCAAAAGAAGTTTTAAGATCATCAATTTTCTTTTGATGATCATCATTGACCTTTGAAAGTAAATTTTTCAAATCTAAATTTTTCTTTTCAAACTCTTCTAGTTTGATTTGCAAATCTTTGATTTTACTTTCAAGATCATTGTTTGGTTTTGGATATGAGTTTATTTTTCATTTTTCAACTTTGAAACATCATTTTTATATTTTAAAAATAATTTCTCATAATCCGAAGCCAACCCATTATATTCCTCTAATAGCTCATCATAAGATAAATCATCAAAATCAGATGAGTTAGAGGTTACCTTAGAATCTTCCCCAAATGCCATTAAGCACAAGTTTGCTACTTCTTGTTCTTCTTCATCGGAACCTTCTTCATCACTCCATGTAGCCACATGAGCCTTGTGCTTATTCTTTGATTGACCCTTCTTCTTCAATTGTGGGCAATCATATTTGACATGCCCTGGTTTTTTGCATTCATAGCAAATGATCGGGTCCTTCTCTTTTGGTTCATCTTTGAGGCCTTCATTTCGTTTGAATTTTCTTCCTCGGTAAGGTCTCATCATTTTTCTGAACCTTTTGGCAAATAATGCCATTTCCTCGTCATCATCATCATCATTAGAATCACTCTCATCTTTTGTGGATTTGAGAGCAACTCCAATGTTTTTCTTCTTCTCCTTCTCCTTTGGTGTCTCTTCAACTTTATCAAGGTCCACCTCATCTTCAAGCATCATTTCATGAGTGAGGAGTGAACCGATAAGTTCTTCAAGAGTTAAGGACGATAGGTCCTTAGACTCGATGATTGCCGTCTTCTTTGATTGCCATGATTTTGGGAGGGAGTAGACTAACTTCCTCACAAGCTTTTCATTTGAGATGATCTCTCCATATGATTTGAGACCATTGACAATCGTTGAAAATCTATCCGTCATAGCTTTGATGTCTTCATTTGGTTTCATCCTGAAATTTTCATAGCTATGCGTTAGAATACTAATTTTGATTTCTTTACCTCATCGGTACCTTCATGTGTGACTTGAAGCTTGTCCCATTTCTTTGGCGGTTGTACACGATGAAACTCTTCCGTATTCATCTGGTCCAAGAGCACAAAAGATAATATGGATGGCTTTGGAGTTGAGCTGGAACATTTTTGTATCTCCTTCACTCCACAACCTTGGATGAGTGATAGGCTTAATGCATCCTTCTTCTACGGCATTCCATGCTCCCATGTCACTTGCTTGAATGAAGTACATCATTCTATTCTTCCAATAGGCGTAGTTAACTCCATTGAAGAAAGGAGGCTTGTTGACGGGCATCGAATCGAGACCGGAGTCGAAGTTTGAAGTGGAGGCCATTGATGACTTTGTAATCGATGTAACTCTTCCCGGATCGACTCAAGAGGCGATTAACCTTCAAATGAGTTAGGCTCTGATGCCAATTGTTGAGTTAATCGAATGACGAATTGGCCAAGAGGGGGGTGAATTGGCAATAAAAATTTTGTGGAAGCTTTTGCAGAAAATTGAAAGTAATTGCACAGCGATTTACAGTGGTTCGACTTTCTCAAACAAAGTCTACGTCCACTACCTTAGCTATCCACACTAAGGATTTTCCAACAAATTCACTAATTTGTTCTTTCTTTTGAGGCCAAAGAGATAACCTTACAATTCCCTCAAGAGTATACCCTAACTCTTGAGAACACTCTTTTCTCAAAGAGAAGATTACAAATTTGCAAACTTACAAGAAAACCTCACAAGGTAAGATGTTTGCACAATTCTAGAACAAGAAAAGAACACTCAAAGAAAATTACAAATGAGCACAATAAGTGTTCTTTGAAAGCAAAATGAATATTGAATGAAAATTGGCTTGAATTGCACAAACTTTGTGTTTGATGCTTTCTCTCTTGTTTCTCTATGATTTTCTTGCTGATCAAGGGCTTCAGAACTTGTTTAAATACACCTTGGATCACTTCTGAACGTTGGGGATGATTAGAGAAGATATTATAGCCGTTTTAGTGTGAAAACATTTAATAAAACAGCTTGGAGCGTGGGGGGAATCGGTTCCCCTCATAGGGAATCGGTTCCCTAAGTGTAAAATTCAAATATTTCGACCGTTGTACAAGGGGGGAATCGGTACCCCATTGGGGGGAATCGGTTCCCTCCGAGCATTCTGGAAATCTCGGAGCCAAACCATTCAGGGGGGAATCGGTTCCCTCTGAGCAATCTGGAATTTTTGGCTTTAAATTGGTTCGAAATACTTTATAAAATTATTTTGAAATTGTTTTATTATTAAAACTTAATTTTACACTTAAGTAAGGATTAAAAATGATTTTTGAAATATTTGGAGTAATGTTTTGATATTCGAATAGTTATATCGAATATACTTAGAAAATCATTTGGAAAATCTTAAAATCCATTTAACTTAATTTGTTATATCAAAATATCAAAATGTTTCAACACTTGAGTTATCAGCTATCACCACTACACGACCTTCATTGTACTCAGACAGGTTTTGTAACTTCTGTTTGTCACCCGTCATATGATTTGAGCAGCCTGAATCTACGATCCAATTATTCTTGTAGTCAATCCATTCTGGTGTTGTTACCATGAGAGTTAATTCTTCTTCCTCCGTAGCAAATAACGCTTCAGTATCCCAACCATCTTCACTATTCTCCTTCAAACTAGAAGTAGCAATATTACTTTCAACAGGTTTTTTCTTGGTCCAACAGTCTTTTGCCATGTGGCCCATCTTCCCGCAGTTGTAACACTTGCCATCGAACTTTCTACTATTACCGCGATTCTTGGAAGCTCCCTCTGAATGAGGGCCTCCATTTCCTTGGTAATTTTTCACCTTATCACCATCATTTTTAGATTCACTTCCAGTATACCGCTGAAAAGTGCCTCTACTTTTGCTAGTGTAGAGCGCTTCCTCTTCAACCTTCAGCGAGACTCCTCCCATTTGCTTGGCCATGGCTTCTTGACCTGCAAGCAAATTTTCAAACTCAACAAGCGATGGTTGTGTCGGCCATCCCTGTACAGTGGCAACAAACCCTCGATATTCGGGTCTTAAACCATTGACAATTATTCTTTTTATCTTGGCTTCCCCAATAGCAGTTGTCGGATCTAATTCTGAAATTCCGCGGCATATCGACTTCACCTTGTAAAAAATATTGGGCAACCGCCATGTCGCATTGCGCCATTGATAGAAGTTTATTCTCGAGAAGTTGCAATTTTGTATCATTCCTCTTCGAAAAGAGTGTAAAAAAAGTGTCCCATGATTCTTTTGGTGTTTTAGTATCTCGGATGTGCTCAAACATTTCTTCTTCAATTATGGTCTTTAAAGCAAACATTGCTTTGCCTGCTTTAATTTTTCACTTTCGCAAAATGCCATTGGCATCTTCTGCCGCCAGTTGTGCAACTTCACCACCACCGACAACCTCCCAAAGGTCTTAACCTTGTAAGTATGACTCCATACATGTTGCCCACGTGTTGTAGTTTTTGTTGTTGAGCTTCTTGATTCCTCCAACTACTTGAAGATCACCCATCTTAACGGCAGGGCTTTGACTACACCGAACAAGCTTGAGTAACAAACGTGCAGAGTACTAAATTACTCTAAACACAAAGAAGCTCCACAAGGTTTGTAATAACCCCGACAATAATCTCAATAAATCTTTTCTGATGTGGAAGATCAGTTAAAAACTGCAGCCACAGAGCATACTTGGAATTTCAAGAGATCTTAAAAACGTGGCTCGGATACCAATTGTTGAATCAAAAATAGAGTAAAAACTCTAATTGATCGAGAAGAAGAAAAAACTCTCTTTAGAATAATCTCACAAAATTGCAAAAGGGAAGAACTCTTAAGAAATCTTTCAAATGCTTATAATTAAGCTTTGATTGTTGGATAATAAAACTCAAATACAAGAAGGGTATTTATAGGTTACAAGAAACAATCTAAACTACTCATTAAAATAATTACTAAATAATCTAAACCATTGAAATTAAAACATGAGAAAAATACTTAATTTTCACCTAACTAAATTGATGTAAGCAATGACATCAAAACTAAATTGATGTAAGCAATGACATCAAATTAATTTAGGTGTGAACTTATTTAAGCTAATATTGAATTTTCAACATCAAGAAACTAATGTACTAAAACATATGCAAAAGAAATTATTATCGTTAAAAAAGAAAGACTAGGATTGCTAAAAGCATATCTTCAATATCATTCAGCCATCTTTCTTAAATCCAGCGCATGTCGCAAATAAAAAAGATGAAGATCAGAGATCCAAATCAATGGACAAGGAAGATTTTCCTTTCTTTGCATATTCAGACAGTGGGGAGTGATTGTTATTATCGGACAATCTTGATTGGCGAGAAGACGAAGAGATATGAGGAGATTCATCTGAACCTATTGTTCCATCACGAGGAGAAGTCCAATAAGATTCATCATGTGCAGTACTGAGACACTCCATGTTCACACCAAACAACCTAAGGCTTTTAGCTACGGTTTTAGTACCCTGAACAACTGGCACTGAGTTAATTACCATTGGCTCCCCTCCTTGCACCGCTGCTCCAATTTGGTGATGTGACCGGCCGGATGATGACCTCGGATAATACTGCCCCACATTGCCGTATGTAATTGCCCGACGCTGTAGTTGTTGCTGTTGTTGATGACGATGACTATAGGGATATATGCTGTAGTTCAACCGATGTAAAGGCTCGTAGCTTCGAGACTCATAAATGGTTCGCGGCATAACGTATTGACTACACCGCTCTGACTGCGGAAAGTTGAACCGGCTTCGGAGCTGCATGTGTGCGAGCGCCGTTGGATCGGGTGCTTTAGGCCTGCGCCTCCAATCGATGTATAACTGGTCTCTTCCCACCTCCCCAACGCCCCGTTGGAACAACACAGTATCACCCGCATCGAGCTTTTTTTCCTTGACGAAACGACTCCACCCTTTGGTCATCACATAACTCTGGCTACTATTCCAATATGAGTACCGGAACCGCCACGGCTTTCCGCTTGGATCCTCGAAATTCAATAGAAACCCTTTCTCGTTTGATGAAGCGTCGAGAGGGAAGTACTTCTCAGCATGTTGCTTCGGTATGACGAGGCGATTGAGCTTGCCTACGTCGCTCGGTGTGACAACTTTGTCAAACATGTGTTCTTTCTCGATAGAGCTAGTACTATCTCCGCCTATACAGTTTCCAGCATTTGATCGGCATTCATTATTGTTGTTGCCGAGTGACAAGTCCATGAGCCCTAGTTTCTTGTCGAAATTGATAGAAGGCTCTTGGGTTCTGTAAACTTCAACAGCATCCAAGGTTCCCAACAACAGGTTTCGGTCTTGACGAGGAACTTAATCTTTGTACTTTGAAGTAGCAGAAGAAGAGGAAAACGAGAAGTTGCTCGTAGTCTCTCATATCACTTCATCATCGTTCCCCTACTCTTTACAATACCTTTCCCTTCCTGCAAATTTGACCTTCTTTATAAAGCTCAGATGAAATTCTATTGAGATGGAAATCCAACCATGAGATTGATGCCAAAAATGAGGGGGAAACGAAAGTTAACAGAAAAGAAAATTTGGGTCTAAACTGAGGACTGTAGATAGCAGCTAAGACTTTCTGTTTCTACCGGAGAAATAAAACAGAAAAAAGACCCGACCTGCAAAACAATGGTTTCTTGGAAGTATATGGTATTGTTTCTCTGAGATCTTTGATGGCCGAGAGAAGCAAAAGACATGGTCTCACTGCAAAAACGACCCGGGTCGGTCCGTCCCTTCTTCTTAAAACCCTAAACAAGACATAAGGACATGGAAGAATAATCAAGATGATAGGGTCGTTTCTCGTGGTTGACCTAGCACTTAACTTGGAGAGAAAGCAAAGAAACAAGTGAAGGAGGAAATTTGGGTTTAAACCCGGTTTTTTTTCTGCCTCCTCCTCCTTTCCCTGCCAAACTTTAAACTTTTCTTTTGTTAATTTTTTGTTCTGGGTTCTTAGAGAGATAGAGAAGGATGAAGAATGGAAAGGTAAACACTCCTACATAGGGGCCAATGAATGATCTGGTTCGACTCATGTGAGATTGTCCTTCATTTTTTTCTGGTTTATCTCTTTATTATCTCTATTATCTTCACCACTGAGACACAAATGGCCAGTTTGGTCTTTAATTCTCAAATCTCAATCAATTTTGTACTGCCAAAAAGAAAATGTGCCCACAAAGTCATTTCCCATTATCATTTATTATTATTATTACATCTATTACCACTGCTACTGCTGTTTGCTTACCTATTACCAATTTACCATGAGTGAGCATGTTAATAGTTAGGTTTCAAATGGATTTTGGCTTTGCTGTCATTGATTGTCCTGCGAAATTGATGAATAAAGTTGAGTCGATTTAGCTCTCATCCGATCCAACAACAAAAAGAAAAAGATTCTTCTATTATCATACATCTAACCAAACTCACCATTACTGCAGTTGAAGTTCACCAACTCTTTTTCAAGCTTTCCACTTCAACCCCCCAGCTCTTCCCATGCCTTTGTTGTTATCTTATCACTAGTACTCTATATCATTTATGGCTAACTCTCTTTTAAGTTTTCTTCATTCATTACATCATTCATTTTCCCACTACTATATATATATATATTAAATCTTTTCTTTTTGTTTATTTCAGCTATATTTATATTGATTTATATTGGGTTAATTGTACGCTCAAATTATGGTTTAAATCCCAAGTTAATCTCAAACTTCAAAATATTTTAATTGAGTTCTCTAAAGATCAATATTATTCGAGTTTGACCTGAATTTAATTCTAACAAATTTATACTTTTTGTAATACTATTTGATTAAACGTATGAATTTATATTGAAGACGACAGTTTATAATATAAGATTTCCTTCTCATCAAGTAATTAACTTTGCAAATATATCATAAGGATTACATTATTGATTAAGCCTAAAATGCCACCGGAAACCTCTTGTAATTTCAATATCATAATGAATTTCTCTCTCATGTCTTTAGTTTTTCTCTTTTAGTATTTTTGAAGAAAATCTAGGTATTCTTGTCCTTTTTTTCATTGATCATGTACTCATTGTTGTTTCGTGCATTCAATTAAGCACTTGTCGTTAATATTTAATAGAGAATCTGACGAGGCAGTTAAAATATTTGATATAATTACACATTTGATTATTGTTATTTATATATTCTATCAATTTGGTCATAATTTTAATAAATTAAAATAAACTTAACCCTCAAATCAAATGATGCCATATAAATGACTCAAAATTCAACTTTTTATTTTAATTTATTTTAATTTTAAAAGTTACATCATATTCTATATTTATAACAAAACAAAATTTATAAAAAAACCTTTTTCTAAAAAATTGAATAACTCAAGCAATAATTAATGATATTAAATTTAAAGTAAACTAAATTTATCACCCTTTTGATATAGGTCAATCTCTTAGTGTAAATATTTTCATGCTAAGTTCACCGAGAATCTTATCAATATAAACTTTTATTAAAGATAGATATCAAATTTTATGGTATGAGATGAATTTTTAAAATTTTAAAGGAAGAATGTGTCAAACGTACAAGAAATATATGTCACGTTTTTCTATTAAAAATTTATTGGATAAAAATTTATTAGTTTTACAGGTTAGACTATATCACATTTTTTCTAGTAGAATGTCATTTACAAATAGTAGTAGGATAAAAATTTTGTCCAACGAACTTTATATGCATGGGGTAATCAACTATGTTTTCCTTAAAACCAAAAAAGGTTATGGTACTATTGACGGGATGCTTCTAATAACCACAAATGGAATTTCTAGGAAAATTTTATTTTGTTATAAATATAGAATATATCGTAACTTTTGAAATATTTTAAAATTAAAGTTTGAGGGTTAAGTTTATTTTAATTTATTAAAATTAGGATCAAATTGATAGAATATATAAGTAACAATGGTCAAATGTGTAATTATACTAAATATTTTAATTGCCACATCAATTTCTCTGTTAAATATTAACAGCAAGTGGCTTAATTGAATGCATTTAAATAGTTGAGTGACCTAATTGACAAAATTTTAGAAATATTAGTTAAAATGAAAAGAGGCAGTAGTTAAGTCGTCACTGGTATAGTTTAGCCTTTATTTTAAATAATTTATCTTTAAATTTTTAACTAATATACGTTTAGTTCTTTAGAATTTAAATTTTTATAAATTAAATTAATGATGTTCATCGTTAGCGGTGCTCATCGAGCGCGATATAATTTTCTTAAATTATTGTTCGATTTTGACGTGTTAGGAAACAAACACGGTCGATAAACTTTAATAAGGCTGTTTTTTTAGGACAACAAATCTAAACTTTCCATGTAATGGGTACACATGTCACATATGCATATAATTTGAAATATTTTTTCTAAATATACTCAATGTTAGATTTGAATTAGCATTGAACGTCCGAGTTGATATAAGATTGAAGAAATGACTTATTTATTATAATATTTGTTATAAAATAGCAACGAATAAAAGATTGCAAAACAACAAACCACATACATAATAGTTAAATAACACATAGATTTATTTAGGAACGCCTAAGAGAGACAAACTACATGCATAATAGATAAATTTACTATAATGCCAAAATTATAAGAGAAAACCCACAAGGATGAAGGAAAAGGAAGAAGAAATTGGAGTTGGGATGGTTTTAGAAAGAGTTGAGGATTGGTTTTAAATGGTTGGAGCAGAGCTGGCAGTTAGGTAGGAAGCCCCAGCTATTGAGCTGGGGAATGGATTTGGATTGCAATGAGTCAGTAGCCCCACTACTCTGGAATCCGGACCATTCGGGACAACTATCATTTATTCTTTTAGGAAATTATACGGCTAACCCTATTTATATTCTCAGAAACCAATGTTTATTGATTTCTTTATATCACCATTTGGTGTAGGTTCAGATGTTTATCATATTAGATTATTAAGTTTTAGAGGGTATAGGAATGTCCACGTGACTGGTGGATATTAACAATACAGTTTTGGAGGCTCTATTTTAAAACTCTTTAAAGATTAAACTAATTTCTTTTAAAAGTTAAATGATTTAAAAAAAATTCAAAAAAAAAGGGATTTAACTAAAATATAAAAAAATAGAACACAACTTGATTAAAATATTCAAAAAAAAATTAAATATAATAAAATATTTAAATTTTTTGAAAGGACAAAATTAAAATTTCTAAAATCATTAAAGAATTTAATATTCTTTTCAAAATTTTTAGCTCCAAATGCCCCTCTGGCTCATCTAATTCAATAAAAAAAATAGTAATTTCGAACAGATATAATGATAAAAAAAGTTCTTAATATTTATCATTTTTCAAATTACACTTTTTTTCCTGAATTTATATCTTTTAAATAATCACTATTCACTAACGAATAATATTTTTGTTGATGTAACATTACTAAGTTTAGAGAGCAATTGAAAAAAATAAACGTTGAAAATTTTTATTATTATACATCTTTACTCTTAATTTATATTTTTTATATTTTATAATCATTCAAATAATAATATTTTATATAAATAAATATCACTATAAAATGAGTTAGAATAGCCAATAAAATTATAAATCAAAAGGGAAAAGACACTAGTAGAAAAGTCCTCAGCATTTACTTTCTTTTGTAATTATACCTTTAACATTATATTTACATAATTAAAAATGGTTATTGTTGCACGAATCAACTTACCTCAGTAACTAAAAGAATTGTTGTTGTTTTTAGATATCACAGGTTTGAGCACTAACGACTGCAACAGAGTGATTAAGTATTCACTGTCAAATGATTGAGAGTATTTATAATATATATTACTGTATAATCATCTTAGCTTAATCAATAGAAATATTGATGGTTAATTAATTATCTAAAAGGAATTTATTAAGAAAATTTTAAATTATAAAAAATACTTTAAAGACAACTAAAAAAATAGTTGAATTTTTTAATCTTTACACAATATCTAACGGTTAATAACTGTAGCTTCTATAGTATTCCTGTGAAATTTTGAATTAAAGTCGCTCAATTAATAGACATGGCACATTTATCTCTGAATCAATACAAACCATATATTATCTTTAAAAGAAATCAAAATGGCACTGTGGGTTTAGTACATGATTTAATAGAGGCAAGTTTATGTGTGTGCTGGCAGTATTGGGAGAGGATGGCCCCTAAATTTTATTAAAAAAATGTTATTTTTATCGAGACTAATAAAAGAAAAGAGTGCAGATAATCGATCCCTTAAAATTTTAAAATTATCATATTTTATATTTTTTATGTATCTTTTATTAAAAATCTATTTTTGTCTCTAGAATTTTATAAATTCCTCTCTCTTAAAATTTATTAGGTTTATCCTCTAGCATAAAATCATGTGTTTATTCCTGATTTCTAGATTGTTATACGGTAATTATCTCATATTCTTAGTTGAATTTATACTTAATTAATAGAGTCGTTGTTTCGTGTACCAAAAAAAAATAAAAATAAAGTCATTGTTTCAAAAAAAAAATCACAGGTTTAATCGTCCAAAAATTTATTCAAGGATTTAAAAAGTTTATTGTATAATGAATTATTATTTTAAAAAAGTTATAATTAGTGTCTATACTATATTAATTTTAGAAAATTTTAAAAATAAATAATAAAATATTTGATAACATCTTAAAACTATTATATTTTCTTTTGATGATATATCAGATAATAATCTTATAAAATTATATCAATTTGACGTATAAAAAGTAATAAAGATATGAGTATCCATATATATAATATTAAAATTTATAATAAAATTTCAAATTAATACAAGTAAAAATGCACAAGATTCTTACAAGAGTAGGGTGAATTCATCAAACTTAAGGGGGGAAATAGGCTTAAACTCACAGGCACAACTATTTTCCTCAAGTCCTCAGTTCTCAAATAAATCATTCATAAGTGTGTGTGTATATATATATATATAGTTTTATATGCATAGATGATATGTATATCTATAATCTATAGATATATATTTAGACGCAAACAGGAGGTAAGTAACTTTTATCGAGGATTTACGAGGAAATCTCACAAGTTAACATCAAAAACTGATAAAAGCGAAAGCACAGCCTATATCCAAAACCCTATATCGGGGACCTCTTGATCTCTTTCCTCGCATATTTTTAGATGACAGTTCCTCAGACTCCACCATCTGTATGTAGTTTTGGTTTTTGCAAATAATGTCATCTTTTACAGGCAATAAATTTATATGTTAGTAGTAGGAGCAGTTGTACTGGTTTATTACTGTCTGGTAATTAAAATTGTATTTAGAGTTGCATCTGTTTGGTTTCAGACTCAACAGTTTATATGTAATGTGTAGCGTGGAGTAAACAGTGACAGTGGGTCTGGACCACACTCTTCGCTTAGGGTACTCTCCCCCCCCCCCGCCACCCTCTTAATCTTCCCTAGCCATACTTTCTCACGCTTAGGGATGATTATGTGGATCAGTAAACCGTTTATCTGATCCAAGGTTTATCAGTCTCACCCGACTTAAGAATCAACCTGATTTAAATATAAAATTCATTTTTATTAGGAAAACAAATACTTAATTTTAAAAATAAAAAATATTATTACAATTATCTCTAAATATCTAAAGGATATTTATAATATCATATCCAATCGAATGAAATCAAAAAATTTTAATTCTATATTTGAATCTTATTTAATCTCACCTTTTTTAAAAAGAAAAAATTGACTCTATCCAAACAAAACCTGAATTTTCAAGATAAAAAATTGATTCCATTGTATTGGACTAGAAGCCATGAAATCTAGGAGAAATGTTCATCCCTACTAACACTAGCTAATGCACGGTGCTTCAGTTGGCTGCTTTTTTACTTTCAGAATTCAATTGGTTTTCCTTTCTCTACTATCATAATGATAATCGAAATATATTACGAGATTTATAATAAGTATTTTGTTAGGGTGTGAGTTTTTACTGGAAAATTAAAAGTAGAAAAAACAACTGTCATATTGGTCCAGACCAGAACTGAAAGGAAGAAAAGTAAAAATAAAGCAAGTTCTTATATATATATGAGTGATATACACACAAATAAAGTCCATATTTAGCCTATGTTGCATAGTCTGAGAGGTTAAACATTTAACGGTATTGCAAAGACAATAAGGAAGAATTGTTTCATAAATTCCATTTGAAAAACATGACCACACCTGGTGTCTACATGTAGTTTAGCAGCAACAGAGATAAGAGACATGTTTTTTCAGTTAAATTTATGTTAAGCCACCCGCCGACCACCCATTAGCTAGCTATAAGCCTATAGCTCTAGGATTTTTGTATTCGACACGTACAGACACATGTGTCTGTCCACCAAGTTGCATGGAACCACAAAATCGGTACAGCTTTTTTGGGTTTGATGGAAGTGATTAGACGAGAGGTAATTGAATTCCCTCTTCATGGATTGAGCCATTGGTATTTATTGATAGTGGGCAGAATAAATCAATATCTGGCCTTCCGTTCATCTATTGTTGTTCCATGAAAAGTAAACTACCCAGAATAGATGGCATTATGCCCCCAACTAATATCAACTTTATCCAAACCAGTTTGTTTGGGGATTGTTCAATTCTCATCAATCCAATTGGTAGTCAGCATCCTTGACACTTACACAGCTTTCTTTCATAATTTGATCACGTCAGGTTCGTTATGACGTGAGACGGATTAGTTAGTTGATCTCCGACCTTTTTGGATAACTTAGGGCTCACGGAACGAATTGTCTGCCAGCTCAGTTAGTAGAGCACAAGGCTCTTAATCTTGAGATCGTGGAATCGAGTCTCACGGTGAGCAATTCATAATTCAAAGGTTTCCCACGGAAGCTGCACTCAACCTGGCGTTGGGGACAGCCTACTATCCTACCTCCTCTTACCTCATTACATATGAGAATAAGGGTCAGCTAATTAGGGCTCACGGAATACAATTGGATGACGTCACACCACACGAATTAATTGCACAGGTAAAATCATGTGAAATGAACTTCATCTGTCTTTAATTTCAGATTTCGGAGTTTAACTTTGAAATGAAAACACATTTTGGAAATTTTAATGCAATTATTTTCATTAATAAATATATATTTTGAATTGCAATAAAACCAAAAATAGAGTCACGTATTCTGAAATATGAGTATTTTATACATTTAAGTGTTCTGTCAAATCACAAACAATGTATGGGTTGAGAAATTTTAATACAAATTATATATATTAGTATAAAACAAACATAAAAAAATGTTAATTAATCTAATTAAAAAATCATAATTTGCAAAATCTCACTGATGTAGCCCAAGTTGCGCCCGCAGGCCTCTCACTTAATTTAGGGTGACGTTTTTGACCCAATTGAATATGAAACCCTCTGTTTCCTTTTTTCCTTTTAAATAAGGGTAAACTATAACGGTGACCACTAAATTATGGTAAAAAATCATTTTGACCATCTATGTTTCAATTTGATCAAAGAGACTATTCTTTTTTTAAATTATTCAATCAAACGATTCTCCACTAATTTTTAACAGAGATGGTGACGCGTCCATTAATAAAAATGACATAATTATATATTTAGTCATCAATATTTACACATTCTATAATTTTAGTCCTAATTTTAATTTAAAAAATTAACCCTCCAATTTTAAAATGCCACTTGTCAGCATATTATTGTAAATATTTTCAAATGAGACGTGTCACCACATGATTGGAGAATTATTTTTAATTGGATAAATTTAATCACCAAATAGGTAAAGGAAAACAAATCACAAGGATGCCGCTAAGGGGTTCCAAACCAAGGACATTAGTCTGCAAGCCTTAACCATTGGGATAAGGGCTCCATTTGATAATTATTTGCAAATTCTTTTGTATATTTTGTTTTATATTATTTCACACAAACACATATATATTAAATTATTCAAACAAATCTAATAAATCAATTATATTTTCCACACACATATAATTATAGTTAACAGTCAACATAAATTTAAAAATAAAAATGGATATAATATTTTTATATTTTTAAATTAAATTATTTTTCACAATTATTTTTAAATAAAAAAATGAGAAATAATTTTTTTAAATGAAAACAAGAAATTAATATTCAGGTTTTAAAGTTATTTTATGACTCAAGTTATGTTTGTAACTTTAGATTCTCTGATGAATTTTTAATATAATTTTATTTTTTAATATAAATTATATATAATTATTTAAAATAATTGTGAAGAAATTAATTTAATTTAAAAATATAAAAATATTAAACTAAGTTTTATTTATATTTATAAAAAAATAAAAAAATAAATCTTATATTAACTATAATTATATATATGCGTATGAGAAAAATATAATTTATTTATTAGATTTGTTTGAATAATTTGATATATATATTTGAAATATTCTGAAACAAAATATATGAACAAGTTTGCAAATAGATATCAAATGGGGCCTTTAAACATATGGTTACACTAATGGTCACTAGTGGTCCTTGGTAGTAGCATCCATATGATTTGTTTTTTTCTACATGTGGTAACACGTGTCACAACATGGTTGATGGATAAATTTATCTAATTAAAAATAATTCTCCAATCATGTGGTGACATGTGTTACTTAAAAATGTGTTACAATAATATATTGACAAGTGTCACTTTTGGATTGGAGGGTTAATTTTTTAAATTAAAATTATGACTAAATTTATAGAATGCGTAAGTATTGAGAACCAAATATATAATTATGCAATTTTTATTAATAGACATGTCACTGTCCCTGTTAAAAATTAACGGAATTAGCTTGATTGAATCATTTAAAAAGTTGGATGGTCTCTTTGATCAAATTAAAACATCGGTGGTCAAAAAGATTTTTGACTATAGTTTAGTGGTCACCCATATAGTTTACCCTTTAAATAAACCAGTTTTATTCCACAAGATGAATATATCATCACCACTTTAAAAATACATACGTAGTCATGATACTGATGCATTGTAATTCCTGACAGATTACTTTTATCAAACACGTAGACTGCAAATCAAGGCGCATCTACGGATGACATGTCTAAATGTTTGGACCCTGGGCCGGAATAATCTCTAACAACATCGTTCTCTTGAAGATGAGGACTTCAGTAATCGTTGCATGAATTAGAACCACTTCCAAAGGATGGGCCAGAGCTAGGCAGTGTGAAACCGGTAACCGTAACCTACCAATCCACATCGAGAAATATATAACTGGGTGATTTGAGGCCATGGTGAAACATAGGAGGAGAAATTTCATAGTGCAATTATTCTAGTATGCTTGCAGTTTCAGCATCAATGGAAACTTTCTCTTATTACCCTGAGACATCCCTTCAAGATTATTCAACTTTAAAGTACCATGCAAAGAATAGTGACCGGGAGTCAGCAGTTTATCTGGAAACAAAAGAGACTGCTGGGACCTCTGCCGGTTCTGCGAAAATTCCACAATTTCAAGGATCAGATCCGCGAACATTGTCATCAACTGAATCAGCTATATTAAGGGAAGTACAGATACTTAACATACTGCATCCGTAAACTAGAATGCAGTTATTGCATCAGTATGCACATGCTATTGCGGAACTAGCTCAAGAGAAGGTGATCTTCTACTGTTTTCTGCTGATTAAAATACAACCTATATCTTGTTGACTGGCAATTGTATGACCTAGAACTTCATGGATATTTTATTTCTAGTGGTAGAATCTTGTCCCGTGTAGAAGGAAAGTGAAGTAGTTTGTCCCCTTTTATACCCCCATGTTCCTGTATGGTCTTTAGATGATCTGGATATTCCAACTTGCTGTTCATTTTTCAGAAAACCCTCTTTATTTTGGGTAACAAACTTTTAAATGCTTTAACTTTGCGGTTTAGAAACATTGGTAGCAAGATATAGCATTTATTACTGTATGTGAACTCGAGTTCATATTTGAGTCGAAGCCTCTAGTTTTTCAGGAAGTACATCCATATGTCTGTTGTTTCTGATATGTCTATTGCTTTGAATGAGACAACTCAAACATCAGTTTGTTGCAGTACAATGCAGGACTATTTCTTGAATCATTTTCAATTGAACTTCTTGTCCTGGCTATATGGAAGAAAGCTCTTCTGATCTGTGGCTCTTGGATAACCTCTGCTCCGGACAACGAATCTCATGGAAGCAGTTCAGCTAATCAACCTACTATCAATGTTTGGGGTAATGCAGATTCGGGTCCAAATCCAGACTATACTGTTGGTTTAAACACGCCTTCATCTGCTTGCATCTGGGCGGAGCAAGGCTTTATTGTTGCATGTGATCGTACCGAGAAGTTACAATGTCATCTTCAAGACATGGATGGTTAGATTGTCAATATGAATCGAACACTTCGTTTTCAACTTCTCTTAATTGGGTTTTCGATTGGTTTAAGATATATTGGTCAAATAATTGCAGCTACAGGTGAGATGCCTGATGCCATGGAAATAATATATCAGACAGCACTCACTATAGGGAGAAACGGTTCTGTAACTGGCTTAGAGGCCATAATTTATTTACTTCACCCTTTGTAATTGTCACTAATGTAAATTTTCTTTCCCTAACTAGTTGTAGGTGGACGAGTATATGCGAAACAAAGGTAGTGCAGCAGCATAGTAATCGAAAACAATGCTTTTGCTTTCGTTTATTGTAGGAGAGGCGGAGAGTGTTCCCTTGAACCCACCATTTTCATTGACTCCTGCCAATAAGAAGCGAATTCAGACCTACATTAAAAACTTACAGACTCGTCAGTCTCAGTTTCTAACATCAGCACCATTCCCTAAGCTGTCTGCAGACTTCCACACCAAGTGAAGAGCTCTGCTTGTGTAGAGTTCTTTTCAAAACTGCGGCGAGCATCAAACTGTGCTTTCTCAGTAAGTATATTCTGAGTAGTGTCATTCTACTAATAGACTTGAGAAAGAAAAAATAGCAAATACTGGCAGTCTGGAGCAAATGATCTTACATTGCATAGGAGTTGATGTAAATAATATCATATTCTTTTTCTTGAGATACTGTAAATTGGAACTGAGATGTAACCTGTGATGTAATGTTAGCTATACATAGAGAGAAGTCTTTCAATTATTATTGTTGAAAACCATAGTTGATGGATTTTTTCTAAACCTGACTGCGACTATCAGATGTTGATAAATGACAGAACCTGCCTTGGATTCCCTGGCAGGCTCAACACAGTAACCCCTGTTACCATCTTAAAATAGACTTAAAATGGAGAAATTGAAGAAATGGAGTAACTTGGGATTAAATTGCAAAATAGTCAAATTATTTCGTCAGAGATTAAAACGTCGTTTTGAAAATTGATTTTGATTTTTTGAATTGGTAAAATTTGAACTTGAATTCAAAAATTGATTCACTAATTCAAGTTGATCAGAGTAATTTGAAACAAAAAAGAAAAAAATTAAAGAACACGTGTAGTTTTTTTCTTTTTTGAGTCAAAATAAATTTTGTTCACCTCTAAATTGATTCATATAAGCTCCGAAGATGGCATCTAGTCATCTAAGAGATCTCGAGTTTGAATGGCAGCAACTATGACCTTATACTGTATGCTCCTGGAAGAAAAATAAGCATAAAAGCAGTAAAAAAGTTCGTAGAAACCAGTGAATGTCCCCTTGCAACTGAAAGACGCGAGCAAGTAGATCTTTTCAGTTTTTGTCGTTCCAATGCAACTAAAAGGTTAAAAATGAATATGATTACGAAGGTCCATAGTAGAATAATAAACACAAGAGAGACGCTGGAAAGAAGCCAAAAGCAAGGGCATTCAATAGATGCTTCTCTCTAAGTCCATTTCGGAGTTTTTAACTACAGTTGCATGGTCCCGGAAAGTAGGAAAGTAGATAAGCAAATATAATACATATAGTACACAAATCTAGACGTGAAGTCCCGTTAACTGCAAGTCTATGATTAATACATGAAGCCAAATATTGGGGGCAGGGATTAGAAATTACACACAGCAAACGTAAATTTTCGTTAGTTAGTTAAATGCGCTTAGCTCAAGTAGAGGCTTCCCCTTCCAAGCGTATCCTCTTCGGATCTTTCTCATCAACTTTGTATGGTTTAAATCCTGTTCGGCTGCCCTTAAGCTTCTCATAACCTAACTCGATTGTCAGCAGGCTCTCTTCCACAATGTTCTTAGCTTTTGACAATGCATTGTACTCGACTTCTCGATGGTCAGCAAGATCTCCTTGCCTGGCTGGTGAGGCGAAAAGTTGATGTCTCATCGTTATTCTCATCTGCATTTTACATGTCTTCACCTACATTTTTCTTTTGTTGCTCCTTGTTCTTGGCGTCATGTGGTGGAGAAAAGCTGTGGCAATACTTATATGGAGAAGAGGGCTTGAAAAGCCAGTCGGCCCTGACAAATACAATAAAATGCTAACAAATAGTAATGGAGCCATAAATGTGAGAATACAACAATACAAGTGGAATAATAACAAAGTTGAAACTACATGAAAAAACAGAAAAGACAAATCAACTTACCCCTTCAGATACCTCCTTCCAAGAATCACTCAGGTTGTACTGCTTTTACCACGACGACTATTACATTCAACTTGTGGATGATCTGCATCCGCTTCCTCCAAATTTTCCTCGTCTTTCTCGTGCTTTTCTAGTACATCTATCTCCATCTCACTGATAAGGTGTATTGGAACCACTTGAGGACCGGTCGACTTGTTTTTTGTTCTTCGTTTTATTTGCATCCTGAGGCTCGGTTACTTCAGCAGCTTTCACTTCAGTATTTACTTTTGCATCCCTACTCTCTTCGCAATCTGATGACGATGTAGGAGATTTTGATGTTGAATGTTGACCTTGCATAGCTTCAGAGTATTCATGGTCCAACTGTTGATCCTGCATGGACTGATCTTGATCATCACTAATGTTTCCATCCATCTTGGCAGCTGGAGCTTGAACATTCTCCATAGGAGGAACAGTAGCTACGAATGCAGGAGCACATTTACAGCCAGCGTGCAGAGGAGCACATACAGAAAGTAGTCCATGGGAAGCCCACCATGCAGTGGCAGCTGCTACAGTTACAGCAGTAATTGCAGCCATACTAGTAGCAGAGTTCATTTGTCTCGAAGGAAAACCTCCCTGGTCACAAGTAGGAGAATCAGAAGAACTTTGAACATTTGTATATGACCAAAATGTAGCTGCAAAACTTGCAGCAGCATGGGCAGCTGGATTCTGTGACAAAGTAGATACAATGAGATTGGAGAAAGTGAAGACATGTAGAAATGATGGATAGTCCTCTTGATTGGGCCGAAGATGCATAAAGGGGGTATGAAAAGTTGGAAACGCCTGGTGAGTTGATCTTGGTGCATTATTCTGATGTGTTGTAGTAGTGGACGCTGCCAGATTTGCATACAGGTTAGCTTGTCATAGAATCCTGAAAAGGCATATCCAAGGAAGGTTTTTGAGCATATGTTCCCGGGATTCCGTCTAGGACTTGAGCAGCAACGTGCTGAGGTTAATCTTGAGCGGCCAGCATCTCATCTGTATGTATAACATCATCCATTTCATATTTTCTCCGATCTTGAGCTTGTTTCTCATATGAAGTGCAAGAATTCTCCAAGTCTGAATGCTTACTTGTATCATTATTAGTTGTCCGTACCCTAAATGTGGTATGCTAAATTAGTATCAGACAGCTCAGACAATCATCCTACTTTGGTTATAAAATTAGCATTAAGGTTTAAGCCTCTTCTAGATATAATACACTCCAGTGTACCTCGTCATGTAATTGGCTACAAATTAGATTACTGATATACAACTAATGTTTTTAACACGGGATCTTCGTATATATTAGATTTAACACTTTCTCCTCAATTGTTACTCACCTGTACCAGGGAAACCCCTCATATTCTCTTGAATGTTTTAACCCCCCCCCCCCCCAAAAAGAATGCTTATACAAGTACAGGATAAATCAATATGTACCGTAAGATTTACCAACAATTCAAGATAGTGCAATTGAGGAATCAATATAACCACCTTGAAAATGAGAAATATAGCCATCATACCAAGTGTCCTTATCTCCACCTTAACAATATTGATTTCATTGATTTAATATGCGAAAGTTATCACCCTTTTAATGACAACTAACAACATAATGATCACTTTATAACTAAATTTAAAAATTGATAATTATTTTATAAATTTAAAAATTTAATGATCGAAAGAATTATATTTATATGATTTATTTTAAAAATTATAAAATAATTTAAATATTTTTTTATATTTAAATTATAAAATAAGATGTGATATCCTAACATAAAATAAATTCATATATAAACTTGTATTTATATGTATTTTTTTAGATTAAAAATATTTATATTTATATTAAAGGTTATAAAAGATTTATATTTTTTGAGATTAAAAGATTTATATTTATATATTAATAATACATAAACTTGTATTTAATTAATAATATTATTAATTAATACACTAATAAAAAACATGATTAAATATATTTAAACATTTAAATATTATATCAGTTTAGTCAAGAGATAATATATAAATTTATAAAAGAGAAAAAAAATTATAAAAGAGAAAACTAGTTTTATCCTAAATGTTTATTCCTTGGGAAAAATAATATAATTTTTAAAACCAAAACCAAAAAGAGAGATGAAAGACCCCACCAAAAGCTTAAGGCTCCATTTCCATGGTTTCTATAAATTTATTTGTTCACCGTCAACCCCATTCCACAAATTTAACAAGAGAAGCTAAAACAAGTATATTATCTTCAGTTCATCCTCCAATGGCTAAAACAATGAAGCCGCTATTAACTGACCTTGTGTCCTCTGTTAGCTCTGTTCCTCCAAATTTCATTCGACCTGAACCGGGCCATCCTAACCTCCATCAGGTTATCTCTGCTAATTCTCTCCCCGTCGTTGATCTCCAACACCTTGATGGCCCTAACCGCTCCACTGTCGTCAAAATCATTGGTCAAGCCTGCCAAAACTACGGTTTCTTCCAGGTATATGAATCGATTAAAAGAATATGTTGTGCTTCAGCTTTAACGTTAATCTTTGGTGCAGGTAAAAAACTGGTTGGCGTTCCGAATGAGGTGATCGATAACATGATGCATGTTTCTAAAGAATTCTTTCATTTACCGGGGAGCGAGCGATTGAAGAACTACTCCGACTACCCTATGAAGACGACGAGACTTTCCACGAGTTTTAACGTGAGAATCGAGAACGTATCGAGCTAGAGGGATTACTTAAGACTCCATTGCTTGTTGGATCATAAAATTGATCCATTATGGGAGCCTAAACCCAAACCCAAACTAAATTGATGTCATTGCTTACATCATTTAAGTAAAGATGTCATTGCTTACATCATTTAAGTAATGATGTCATTGCTTACATCAATTTAATTAGGTGAGAGTTAGGTATTTGTTGAATTTGTAATGGTTTAAATTAGTTTATTTGTGTGGTGTAGGATTGTTCTTGAGTAGTATAAATACCCCTCCCCATTTTAGTTTTAAGCATCAAGAAAAATTAAGAGCTTCTAAGTGAGTGAAGAAGCAAAGTCTTATAAGAGTGAGTTGTAGTTCTTGGTTTTGAGTGAGAATGCTTTTGTAATATTTGTTTGAGTTTCAATAAAAGTTGTTTGTGTAAATGTTTCATTTCCAACAGAGTGGTATTAGAGCGAGTTGGAAAGATCGAAGGTCTCGACGAGAGGAATCCGACGTAGCCAGAATTTTCTCATTCTGAGTTCTGACGCATCGCCGGAAGACTTCTGCCAGAAAATCGAGTTGACTCGCTGAGTTAAGCCGAGTCAGCCGAGTTGGAGCCCCTTGACCGAGTTATCCAAGTCCCTCCCAAGTTTTTTTGGCATTCCGGATTCATCCGTACAATCGGATTTTACAAATTCTCATTATATTGAGAGATATGGCAAATGGTATGTCATCATTCCAAGTTCCAACACTCAATAACAACAACTACGACGATTGGAGTATCAAAATGAAGGCACTTATTTGATCACAAGATGTGTGGGATATCATAGAGAAATGCTATAACGAGCCTATGGATGATGATGCTTTTGCTACTCTTACACCAGATCAAAAGACAACTTTGAAG